TTTTCTTTTAAAAAATTAGCAAAGTCTTATCCTGCAGAGAATTCTACAAATCTATTAGCCTGCATATTTACTCAGTGAACAAGCGACAAGTAGAATTAACTATGGTAGAAATGATCGGAATTACTTGGCGCGCGCGTACATCCGGGACATTTTGGTACATAACTTTTTCATAGCTTCACTACAGTAAATAAGGAAAATACGAGTGTTTTGGTTTCCGATAAAACACTATTAACCACATGATAAACGAAGAGCCAAATATAAGGGTTGTTTTCAAATCTATAGAAAAAAATCCCAAAAACAGTATCTAAGTAAGGAACGACTATTATAACTTTATAGGTAATMTAAATCGATTCATATTATAACTTTGTATTTTGGGCACCTTGGTTTCTTGACACACTTAGCTTGACCAAATTCGGCTCCCGCTCAAAGACTTCTATGTACTAAATGAGCGGTAGTTTTCAGATGTACAGAAAAAATCCACAAAACAGTGTTTAAGTAAGGAAAGAATATTATAACTTTATTAACAATCTAAATCGATTCGTATTATAACTTTTTATTTTGATTGCGTTTGTGATAATTATTTTGATTATATTTTTTTACGCGTTGTATATGGTAGAGTCCTAATTTAACTTCTAAAGACAATATTAATTAAAYTCGTTGATTTTAAGTTTGTAAAGCAGTAATGTAAAAGAGAAGGAGAGATATGCGTAGCGAGTATATCCCSCTTTTCTTCCTCTGCCCTTCTCCGAGCTATTATATTCGAGCTGAATATTCTGACTACACGACTTACCACACACATACATTGACTGCAAGGACGCATTTTACCGTAATGAATTTATTGTACACATCATCACTGAATTCATCAAAACAATGTTGTTTACGAGTTACATTTCCCTATTCTAAGATATATGCCAGGTCACTGAAAATTTAAACTTCTTTTTTATACTATATAAATCTAGCATGATTTATCATTGCTTGTTTTCCTCGCTCTTTGGACACGTACTTGCGTGATACCTAAGAACTAGATAAAAATATCAAAGTATCACTTCTATGCATACATTAAAATCAACTAATTTACGTCATCGTTTTGACTGAAGGTGCACCACACCTATGGCAAATTATTCCCATTTCATTAATATTTTATTCCGAGTATTCCCAATAGCATAGATACTTTTCAACACTATCCAATAGAATACCTCATGTGCATCCGTACAGTTCCATTCTCATCGAAGGCCAACCATTCTTGCCATTCTTTGGGAGGACTCTGATGAACCTCGCATTGATTGGTGGTTTAAGATTATGCCTCACAACAGAATTTTTATCAGTGTTTCCACTAAAGACAAAACCTGCTTTGTAATCCTCGAAGGTACTGCCATCTGAACTGTACTGCAGTCTGTAGCTTTTCATCCACTCTGAATTGTACTTTGAGCCTTGTGTTGCGATGGCATCTACAGTGTGAACTGTGCTAAGGTCGACCTGTAACCAAGATTTCTTTACTGGCGCAGGCAACTTTGTCTTAGGGGTCCAGCCATAACTATCCGTGTTCAATCTTGCTTTCCATGGAGCGTATCTGTTATCATATTGAGAAGAGGCAGTGATCTTGGAATTGGGAATGGCGTTGCTCTGCATCCCAAGAGGTTGACTTTTTTGGCATTTCACACCTGTAGCAGATAATAGAATGCAAACAGATGGTAAGGTACACACAACCCAGTCCCCCTCCCTTGCTTGAGCTGATAATATGAYTTCGTAACRCGATTTCTAAAGGACACTCAGAGTCACAGTCTCTTAAGCCACGACATGGACAATTGAATTTTGGACCYTGTTTGTTTATGCTACATATACGTAAGATATCTAGATATGGGATTCTTGCCCTATCCTTTCCATCCGTTGACCTCGCAACAATTCAAAACACTTAGCGTGAGTTCTCTGTAATTTCTCTAGTTCTCGATCCCTGTCACAATCTCCACTGCAAGCGGTCACGAACAGATACCACAGCTACAACTCGTATAAAACAAATTCGGATATCACAACTTTACTTATTTTTAACTTACTAATTAGTCCTTTCGATACGAATGGTATYACCTGCTCACAAGTKGTATGACTGGTTCCACTGACAAAAATCTTCACTTGTCTAATTCGCGGTTGACTCGGGACGAAGCCGAAGACGCGTCTTCCCCACAGTCTCAAGAGCACGTCAACCAATTAAACCCAGAGCATTTAATTAAGATCAACTCCCGACTATGGTATTTCCATTCGCATCGACAGTCTAAGACTGCATGGCAATTTTACCAGTCGTCACATAATCCCCAAAACACAAAGTCTTATTTCAAAACTATTTCATAGAAATCACGTGATWAAGGCCGAGTTATTAGGCTACACTGCAGCAATCAATTTTTCATACAAATTCAAAATACCATGCAAATCTTCATGCACTTAAAAAAACATCTTTTAATCAATATACATATATGGATCATCGGYAGTTCAACCATAAAATGCATGAATGCGTCTATTTCAATTTAGGATGTAGATTACCTGATTTGCATCCGTAGAGTTCCATTCTCATCGAGGGCCAGCCATTCATGCCAGTCTTTGGGAGGACTCTGATGTACCTCGCTTTGACGGGTGGGTTAAGGCGATGCTTAACAAGAGTATTTTTATCAGTGTTTCCATYGAAAACAAAGCCTGCTTTGTAATCCTCGAAAGTGCTGCCATYTGAACTGTACTGCAGTCTGTAGCTTTTCATCCACTCTGAATTGTACTTTGAACCTTGTGTTGCGATGGCATCTACAGTGTGAACTGCGCTCAAGTCGACCTGTAACCAAGGATCGACTACATCGACTGCAAGTATCCTTGTCTTAGGGGTCCAGCCATAACTATCCGTGTTCAATCTTGCTTTCCATGGAGCGTATCTGTTATCATATTGAGAAGAGGCGGTGATCTTGGAATTGGGAATGGCGTTGCTCTGCATTCCAAGAGGTTGACTTTTTTGGCATTGCAGATCTTGAACAGTAAAGAAGATCAAGTTTTACATTATAGGAATTGTCTAATTTTTTCATGCTAACATAAATKAAAAGATAATGTAAGAAATTGAGATAATATATTCATGGAGTGGTCATAAACACTTTTACGAACACCCATTACAAAATAGAAATAGAAATACATTGCTCTTAAAMGAAACAATGATTCGATAGATCATTTGTTGCGTGCTTGCTTACAATGAATAATAATGATATCATTTGCTATAGGCTGGAYACCCCACAGAAAGATCTACCAATATACAGCTTTAGATCATTTTCAGAATAGTAGCATTCCCAGAACATGCTCGTCTCCTAATATTATTCCGTCGCATAACTCAAACACCGCCCCAGCCCTCACCTCCCAAAACTCAAAMGATTCTTCTCTGATGCTGCTTTTATCTTATCACTTGCCTAATTAAGGTAAACAAAATATGCCCAGCCTTGGCTTGCCAACTAAACTGATAAGAAAAATGTTGGAAAGTTCAAATGAAGACCAAGGAAACGAGGATGCATAAACGTGGTGCATATAGGATTGGTAGCTGGCTCAAACAAAGCTGCAAATCATATTGCAAGAATTCTCTTCCAAAGTGTATTGCTGATGCATGAAAATTGGTTCATCCTTTAGGCTTATGTTTTAATCAGCGGAAATTCCTCAGAACAAAGAGCTTTATTCAGTACAATAAAGACTAGGTAGCTAACCATGCAGCCAAATGCCAAATGCATATGATAAGATTACTTTGGAATCGCTTTGCATTGATCTTTTGGTCTTTTATTGGTCTTTAACAAAACTCCAACTCAACCACTTCTTATTTCCAGCTTCGTTCATACAACTTTAACATATCGTGAGTAAATTTATTGGATCGATGCTTAATATTATACCTTTTCTCACTTTGTATACAAATAATTCGTGTACTACTCCCACACAGAACCTTTCACCAGAAGAACAAGTAACGAAGTTCTTTCCCAAGCATGAGTTGGATTTAGAACTGAAAKTCCACTTATCATAAYGACTGCTCCAGCACTCTCCTGAGTAGAAGGAAAGAAAAAAACATTAGTGTCAATCAAAAAGGGAACAATTTGTTTGTATTATTTTTTTCAATTTTAGTACACACCAATGGAAAGTTCTACGAACGGTGAATACCGCTATACGTAAGATAAATCTTTATCCAGCGGATAAATTCACATAAATACCTTTTTAACCCTATTCAGACTGGGGGGGGGGGGATTTTTTGTTGATAACATTATCCATGTCGCCATGGCAACCAGCTTTTGACAAATAGCTTTTCAAAAATGAAAAATATGCTTAATTTTTTTATTTTTAAAGCTTATTTCTTGTTTTATTAGGCATCTTTTACCTATTTGAGCTTGCTCCCATTGCTGACGTTTTCGACAACAAAAACTTTTGGGGGATGGGTGGGTAGTTTTCAGTCATTTTTTCACATGGGAGAAAATTTCATTAAAATCATCAGTAGCACTTCGAAACTCCCTTTTTTTATTCATTAAATGTTAGTTTGAGAAGTATTTAAGACATTTTGAGCTATTTGCCTCAATTCTAATTTTTTTAATGGCATTTTAGAAAATTCAAGATGGCGGTCCAAGATGGCGGATCCTAAGATGGCGGATATTTTTCTCAAAATTGTTTGTTCCAAATTGTTTAACTTCAAAAACTTCTCAAATTGTAAATTTTGCGTACCATAAAATAATGATGTAGACAAAAATAAGTGAGATTTGGAGTCAAATTATTCAAAGACGACAAAGACACTATAGGAAATGACGTCGCCGCAATTATGACGTCACAACTGTTACCATGGATACAAAACGAACGAACCACAACATAATAACGCCTAAATATGATATTAAAACTGGTACATGTATACTTTATAAAAATTACCTGATACCTATGACGTCATTGTGACGTCATATAGAACAGAAGTCAATCCATATGGAACTTATTGCCATACATCGGGTGACATTTGCTTTGATTATTGTCCAGGCTCACTCATGCATGCATCCATGCATGCATGTATATATGCATGTAATTTATTTATTTACTTCATGAAATATAATACAATGGAGTTAATTAATATTTTGTCGTCGATCGACCTCATTAACATCATCATCTGACCATAAAATACTATTAATAGCAAAGTCACCTCTAGAAAGGAAAGTACATGTACATGTAATATCACAGTACGTTCACTGACTGATATAAATTTTTCAAATATTGAATTAACACAAAACTGCATAGTTTTGAGTACATTTTCAACATATAATAAGAAAGCAATAATTTGAAAAATTCAAGTTTGATTTTTGTTGCTTGTGCCTACAGAAGTAGTCTCCTTTGCATCCGTTCATCGTCGGGACAGGAATCCCGAAACGCAAACGGATGCGAAGCAACGCCAACTCTTCAAAGGCGAAAATACGTAATTTGATTTTTAAATTTTCTCACGAAAAATACACAGCATTGTCACACATACATTTTATTTCTTAAATCCGTTGCTAGGTTTTTTATTAACAAAATAAGTTATGCGCGAGGCCCAGTTTTTTGGAGCGAACTGTGGTGAAAACATGGATCGCCATACTATTTTAATGCTCAACCTCAACTCTTCAAGGGCAAAAATACGTGATTGGATTTTCGAATTTTTTCATGAAAAAAACCCAGAAAGGTCGCATATAGATTTTATTTTTTAAATCCGGTGCTAGGTTTTTAGGATTGTTTTTAATGTCGCCGCATTTCTTCAAAAAGCCTTGAAATCTGGCCTTTTTTCGTCAAATTTGGCACTTCGTACGGACTGTCAGGTCAAGCTTGAGTGATCACGGACTATTTGTCCCCCATAAGTTCCATATGAAAAATGTAAAAATATTTTTTTCAAGTCATTTCAATAATAAATAGATGATATTGCAGCATTCTTTATGGAATTGTAGGCAACTTATTAAAATCAATTATAAATCGTTAAAATGGTGTAAATGACGTCATTATGACGTCAAATTTGGTTCCCATTTGGTTTCTGGTCAAGACTGGGTGTGGTGGTTCGTTTTACGAGGTCGCACATTGTGTGAAAATTTTATGCTCATAGACCTATTGGTTCCGAATGACCCCCCCCCCCCCCCCCCCCCAAGTCACAGATTGAAGAAAAAGTCCAGTCTGAATAGGGTTAACTCCGACAAACTCGCAGCTATACCTTTCAAGATGGAGACTGCGTTAAGAGTGTTAATATCACAATCCTACCGTAATGTTGAATACCAATGATTTTATCTCCCAATTCATAAGCCTTCTGAGCACATCTAGAAGCTATGTCTCCCAAGTAGGTGTTCCATCTATCCCAAGCAATATTTGTCCCACTATAATGAGGAGATGTATTATCACGATCGGTAAGAATCAGCTTGATAGGCAGAGGAGTAATTCCGTCGGATTTCGCTTTGAAGCAACCAATTCGCTTTAACGTTACATTGGCATTTGGCTTGACCTCCTGGTCTGCTTTTGGATAATAATATAAGAAGATTAAGGCTTGTTTTGAAATGGCTTCTTATATACGTCACATAGCAACAACGGGAAGTTCGAATTGTTTGTTTAAATTGAATAGTGTGATGCACTATATACCACATAAACACAAAGTCCGGCCATTGTTGTTCACAAAATGTATCGATTTTGCGTCCAGATTTACGCAGTCAAGGTCAATGAAAAGAAAGAGCATTTGCCATAATGATCACAGCTAATTGCCATAATCTTAAATAATTATTCTTGTATTTGAGCAATTTGTCTTGCACTTTTACCATTTCACTTTACGCTATAAAAATTTCAGTTTATATAGATGAAATAGCACCAATGTTCTGATTGGTCCAAGAACGTCATTCATTTTGCCAGTAAATATACGCTCGCTACCATGACTAACTTCCAAATAAAGCACTTGTCAATCATGGCCGGGAAAACATTCAAAAACGACACAATTACTCGCTGCTCTCGCGCCTTTTTATTTAGTTTTTTTATTTTTATTTTTTTCGTGTTCTCCCAACATCCCCACGTGTTTTATTTCACCGATAAACCTCGTCCATCATCCTTCACTGCTTAATTAATGACCAAGGATTATTTCTATTGCAAAGTAGTTGAAGCAGATGCGAAACTGATTTCTTCATTTTATTCATATTTTAAAACGATTTTATTTTATTTTATTTTATTTTTTATTTTATTTTTTAAACGATTTGTTCCTAATATCACAGCTATAGGGCTATAGCTAGTTTGAAATTCTCTCTATTGGCTAATGACTGGTAAGTTGAATTCCTCTTCCCCGGCACCATAAGAAAGAGACTGAAATCAATTAAAATAATTTGACGATATTTTAGGTAGGGAGGACAAAAATATAGTAAACCTGTTACTGCTCTTGTACAAACTTTCTGCTATAAAGTAAAGGTCCAAAAAATAACTTTCACTTAGAACGATTCGAGCCTTGGTGAAAGATTAAGAACTGGTTTAACGAAAAAGCAGCCAAAACCATAATACAGWGCATATTCATCAGCCAAAATGGGGTTGAAAATTACCCTCCTTTACGTTATAACAAATCTACCTTCGGCGTTCCTAACCGATTCCTTTTATATAAAGCCAAGATCTCAATGTTGTGAGATTTTCAAGAAAAATATAATCCATTAAATCATTATAAACTGTTCAGTTATTGAACTCAATTTTGAAATGCATTATAGGACACTGTAAAGTCCTTGCATTAAGGTTGTCAGGTACCCATTCTGACTGAGTTTCTATAAAATAAATGTTTGTTGTACATTGAGTTTATGAAATATAAACCAGTCATAATACCTGATTTACATCCGTAGAGCTCAATTCTCATCGAAGGCCAACCATTCATACCAGTTTTTGGGAGGACTCTAATATATCTCGCTTTGACTGGAGGTTCAAGGTCATGCTTCACAACAGTAATCTTATCAGTGTTTCCTTTGAAGACAAAACCTGCTTTGTAATCCTCGAAGGTGCTGCCATCCGAACTGTACTGCAGGCTGTAGCTTTTCATCCACTCTGAATTGTACTTTGAACCTTGTGTTGYGATGGCATCTACAGTGTGAACTGTGCTCAGGTCGACCTGTAACCAAGGATCGACTGCATCGACTGCAAGTATCCTTGTCTTGGGGGTCCAGCCATAACTATCCGTGTTCAATCTTGCTTTCCATGGAGCGTATCTGTTATCATATTGAGAAGAGGCGGTGATCTTGGCATTGGGAATGGCGTTGTTCTGCATCCCAAGAGGTTGACTCGTTGCGCATTTTAGGTCTGTAGTGAATAATGAACGATGAGGGTTTTTTCATAATGATATATATCTAACTTTTAAAAGTAAGCGAGTAGTGTAGTGCCTGTACTGAATTGCAACTTAGGGAACCTCTCCTAGCAGTTACAACGATGAACAATGATGATTCAGCGGGAGTAACCACGGGGAGAAGGGGAGGGATGGGGATCCACGGGTAACCACTGGAAACAGTGTGGAGCTACGTGGTGCCATGGGTAATATAACTGCTTGTGTTAGGTGACGATGTTTGTCTATTGATTCTGTTGATCTTTCAATGAGTTAATTTGTCATGACCTTGTTTTGTAGGCTCAATGGAAAGATCGTTCTTATTTAAGCCTAGTCCGGGACCTAAAATCGCCGTAATTTTGGGCGATTGTAGGCGATTTTAAGCGATTTTAGGCGATTTAAGCAAAAATCACCAAAAACCCATATAAATATAAGGCGATTTACTGCGATTTTGGGCGATTTTAGGCGATTTTAGGCGATTTTAAGCGATTTTAGGCGATTTAAGCAAAAATCACCAAAAAACCATCTAAATCTAAGGCGATTTTGGGCGATTTTGGGCGATTTTAGGTCCCGGACTAGGCCTTTATTTGCCAATTACAAACTATGTGATTAGGTCGCTTAACACAATCTGAGGTTGATGAAGCTCAACCAGAAAGACTTTCCGCAGTCGCAGTGTGTAGTAGGAGAATTTCCGAACTCAAGCACTTTCCAGCTGCTTTATGGTCAGTATTTTCTAAGGCAATCTACACTAGGCCTGTACCTCTAGGTACAATGAGATGGGTAGTTATTCGAGTTAGT